CTACTCACTGCCTTCTCGCACCACGGGTGTTGTTTACGAAAATGAGAGAACGAAAAGCGAATGTCCGACGCCTTAACCGGATCCCGAACCAAACCAATGGTGCACATGGGCTCCAGTATCCTGCGGGAACAAATGGCGTATGAACCATGGGACTGCATTCCCTTACGATGCTCCACTGCCTTGCGGATCAGATCTTCAGGTCGGAGGCTCTGGGAGTGGCCCCCTAAGAAAACCACCTGCTTCGGTTTGGACACCCGGGCAGTATCCCAGCCCTCACACATATCGAATGAGATTTGTGTGGCGCATATGTATTTGGTGCTTCCTTGTACCAACATCTATGTGTTAAAATAAATAATTGCAACGGATGTAATTTGCTTGTCGAGAAATACTACGATTGTGAGGCGTCTGAATGTGTGTCTATGTTCTAGGACCTGACATAGTATGAATATCTGGTTGACTGAACTCTTCTTGTCCCTTTATTTTTGTCTCTTTCCAAATTTATTTCACTGGATTATACTCGTTGAATAACATCTTCATACCCTAATGTTTCCAATTGCTGCTTATACTTTAACTACATCTATCACTATGGGATTTGAATGGACAATTGTATCTGTGTGGTAATTTGGTATGGCAACTTGAACTGATGTATGTACGTACGAAGTTCTACATTGTTGTCTGACTGATAGCAAGTAAACTGATAAGTAGAATCAGTTTAAAACGGTAACTTATCCTTAACATATATTCAAATCAATTTTTAAGTAGTATCTCATTTTAGAGTTATGTATACTCATTAACTATGCATATATACATATATAATTGTGTAGAACTATAATAATCAACATTATTGAAGTGCTAAAGTATTTTTATGAATCATCAAAATGAAGATTATGCGAAACACTAAAGGTCAAGGATACAATGTCATTGTACATAATAATGATGTGATTTTTATTTATTAGATCGATGATAGTTATTGCAAATAAGAACATGACTTGATTAAGGGTTATGCATAATAATAATAAGAAGAATACGTGGAAATGGTAAATAGATTGGTATAAATTGTTCGAATTTTAGTGAATTCATTTAGTCATAAGCAATGTAGAACCTTCAACTGTCAACCAACACCAAGGTCAGGATTTTCAATACAAATGTCAAGACAGTTCTACTGTATGGGGCAGAAACCTGGAGAACTACGAAGGCCATCATCCAGAAAATACAAGTGCTTATTAACAGTTGTCTACGCAAAATACTTCGGATCCGTTGGCCGGACACTATTAGCAACAACGTACTGTGGGAGACAACAAACCAGATCCCAGCGGAGGAAGAAATCAGGAAGAAGCGCTGGAAATGGATAGGACACACATTGAGGAAAGCACCCAACTGAGTCACAAGACAATCCCTCACATGGAATCCTCAAAGCCAAAGGAAAAGAGGAAGACCAAAGAACACATTACGCCGGGAAATGGAGATAGACATGAGAAAAATGAACAAGAATTGGATAGAACTAAAAAAGAAGGCCCAGGACAGAGTGGGTTGGAGAATGCTGGTCAGCGGCCTATGCTCCATTGGGAGTAACAGGCGTAAGTAAGTAAGTAATGTAGAACCTTATACATACGTGCACCAAATTCTATACCAAATCATTGCAGCAAGATGAAATTGTCAAGACAAATAACAGTGTTGTAGGATTAGTAGAAAACATCAGGTATACGACAATATGATTAGAAAAGAATGGATGAATTCATGGAATAACAAGTGTAAAATATTTTCAAAGCTCAAAATCTAAGGAGTATATAAGGAATAAGTGAATCCATGCTACTGCTACTAATTTTGAGCCATGTCACTTAACTTTTCCAACCGCTCAATGTTATTATCACGAGATCATCAATCATGGTAGTCTGTATTTGTCAAAATTGTTAAAACCAACAATCAACGGCTACATAGACTAGTCCTTTGTTTTGATCGTTGTTATCTTTCGTCGAAGTTACTCCTATTCCAGCCTTCATTGCACGTTGAGGTAATTAACGACTTAGGGTATGTAACACACGTCTCAACTACTTCATTCGAAGAAGATTCGCTACTTGATTAACCAATTTGTATATTGTTTCTAACTTCAATGCTGCTCACTCAATAGTTCCAGTATATGCGAGCAATGCTTTCAAAAGATCTGTGATCAAATACTGGTAACTTACAAATATTCTTTATTTTTAAAGTTCCACACTCATAGAGTAGTGCAGAGCATATTGCTACACCGTACACTCGTCCTTGGGTTGACAGACGGACAACACCTATGCCACAAGTGATGTAAATTAGTAAAAGCCAACCGAGCTTTCTAAATCCATGTCTAGATTTCGTCAGATACCTACCTACCAGGGGCTTGATAAGACTTCTGTGATAAGCGTAGTGATCAACGCCCTCATTTACTTTATTTCCTATCATTATTTTAAACTTCTACGCAGAGCAGTCTTGAAGTAACATTCTTTATACTACGAGTGGAGAAGCACACTCCAAATGTATTTGCTTTGTTGCTCAAGAGGATCCAATAAATTGCTAAGAACAAAAGTACTCCTGTAACTAAATTAAAAATGTAAAAAAAGCAATGGTATCAAAGAGCGGCAAATAATTGTGAAGGTTACCACACAAACTGTTTCTGTGCACATAGATCAGATGTTAAGTTGTCTTATCCCTTGTAAAGAATATTTTGAGCTCGAATTAAGTAGTTCACAATGCAGTATTAATATATCTTGCATTTTGTTTTTCAAAATATGATCAGCCATAACCACATGGCAAACGATTTTGAGCCATGTCATTCAGCGTCTCTAACCATCGGTTGCTATCACCTAACGGATCCCAACCCGGTAGTCTACACCTACCAACATGGTTCAGCCCACTTGTCAGTGAGTGACTTCATGGATTTCTGCCATATTTTTGTCTAGTCACCCGTAGGTTTCTTCCAACCTACTCCTACACCATGAAACATTGCACGTCGGGGCATTTGGTGGTTGAACATACGTAACATATGTCCCAGAAATGGTGTATGTATACTCTTGAAATATTGATCACATGAGATTTGTTCATTTTTTTTTCAACGTACCATGTTCTTGTCAAGGTTTTCACAACGTCACTATTTAATTTTTCAAAAAATGTGTTAAGTAAAAACGTCTTGGTTTATTAATAGACTGCGTTTGCAAATATTTCCATGAAACCATCTCGATGTTTGTTTGCTAATCTTATAAAAACACAACTAGATCACTTAATGTTATATTGAAGTGAAACACAACCCTTTTGGATTTCTCTAGATCACTGATCAAAGTGATCAGATCTTGTCTTAATTTATGTTAAAATTATTGTTTATTACCATCCAACCATAGATTACAGTTTTTATATAAAGTATTAATTAAAATGTCTACAAGTTAGCATCTACCATAGATTCATTCGATAGGGATAATAGTTACTGCGTTGAATTTTTCTACATCAGCCTGTAGAAATAAACAGTGGTGTCCCATACATGAAGTTTCGCAACCACATCAACGGTTTTGTTTTACGTTCGCATAGAGTTGTAATTATACAAAGTCTAAGGGTTAAATTAAAAATCAAGTATTTCTAGGTGGTTGACGGATGGGGTAAACATAACATCATCATTCCATCAAATCATTGGCTATTTGTCTCAATCGTGTAGTTGAATCTTAACTTCCTAGTTAGGAACAAATTTTTGTTGACTTGGCTTAAAAATAGTTGCATTCATCATTCTTACTCTTTTCCTTAATCTTGAATCTTTAGAGTAACTGTACACTTTTATTACGTGAATTAATCCCTTTACTCAGAAATAGGTTCTTTGTAGTTTGCATATGGGATTGGTTTCAGTTAGACAACCAATGTAAGCCAGGAATAATTAGACAAGTTTTTCATCTTCATATGGGACTCACAGCAGTGTACATTCACTACCCCAGTGGGAATGTTTACTCTTGTCTACTATCATTGGTATTACCATTGGTTCGAACCCATCTTGTCATTCGTTCTAATTTTACTTCGAATTTGCCTACTATGATAATCCGCTCGTTACTGTAGACTACACCGTTTCGCCAGGCAGGTTAATTGGAGAGCTGTAAGACCACAGACTGTGTTGGGTTGTGACAGCAGTAAGGTGTTTACCTCAAACAACCAGGATATACAACTATGTTGCCTTCGCATAACAGGAGAAGGGAATTATGAAACGTCAGTCCTGAAAGTAACACATCTTGCCTCACAGATTTCTATTGTCAACAGTAAGGTCTAAAATGTACAGACCAAATTACAAGCAACTATGGGACTGGTTTCATTTAGTTTTCTCCTGGTCTCCACTATTAAGATCACCCTTAACCCAGTTTCATTTTCAAGTCCCTCAATTATAAGTATTGTTCGGCAGTGTGGTTAAATGGACAGCGACAACCGCTCACAAACACTTAACTCCATTCGGTATCACCCTGTTCACAATCAAAACTCTTCTGAAACAGACAATGTATAGCGTGACACAAAATGTACAGCGTATATATATTGGTAGTTTGTGTCTCATCCCTCGGAAAACAAAGTTAATTCTTAGCCAATTACATGCACTCATCAGTTATCTCACATGTATAATGTATTATCAATAATTAAGATCATAAGCCAATTGAAGCTAGACCATCAGAGAAAAACTGGAAGCATAGGATGGCCGTTTCTTCCTATTGTGGAACTCCTCAACAGTGCGCACCCACGATCCCGCCTCTTGAAATTCAAACCCAGGACCTATTAGTCTTGTGCGCGAGCGCTTAACTTCTAGACCACTGAACCGGCATCCAAAGATGTTAATGTCTAACTTCAACCAGAATAGGACGCAATGGCCGTCCAGGTTTTCCATGGTGATCTAGTTTCAATAAGTTCATGATCTCAACTATCGAAATTAGTATAATATCCAGAAAAGCCCCTTCTGATATAATGTATTAGTTTATCTAAATAATCCATTCCTTTTCTTTTTTTAAAAAAATTAGTCCGAGAATATAGTTTCACAATCAACAAATGGAGTGCAATCAACTCATTCGAAGAAAAATCCTACTCTACGTAAACGTTCCATTCGTAAGTTAACAACAACAACAACAACAACACTATCATCAACTGTAAAATCATTATCACCGTCATCATCTTCAACAAAATTATCAGATAAATCCTCTTCCTTTTCTTCATCTGTAAACTCCTTTAATTCTATTGAATGTTGTCAAAAATTAGATGACATTTTAAAAGATGACCAAAATGAATGTGTTCACGGTAAATATATAGGTATTCTTTATTCAATTGTGTGAAATTGAGTTTTTATTAAGTTTTATATGTCTTCTGTTCAGTTTATAAGTTCTGGTTAACATAGTTTGCTTATTTGTTTAAAGTATCAAGTTCTGGTACAACAGACTACTAAAAGAATATCTAATTCCTATGAAAGACCAACCGTTACCCTAATCATTACTTAACTGGTTGTGTCTCACACCATGACATCGGTTGAAATATTGATAAGGAACTAATGTTCTTTTTGGAAATTGCAAGTATATCTTGCTAATGAGTACTAACTACCATGTAGAGTAGGTCTAGTGGGTTTTCTTGTTTAAGATCTTCAACCACCTAACGTTGTGTTTTCTCCTCAATTCTCCCCCTCTATATATATGTGATATAACCATGCGTACGGAATGTTTAACTTTCCATAAAAGGGAGTTATGCAAATTTACAATAAAAAGTACATTTTTTTAAGAGTTAAATTCACCAGTCGATCTAAGCTAGAGTCAGTCAGTCAGTAACAACGTAGAACTTCGTACGTACGTACATCAGTTCGAGTTGCCAACCACATTAGCACAGAGATGCAGTGGTTGATACAAATCCCGTAGTGCTAAATGTAGTAAAATTATAAGCTGTAATCAGAAAAATTAGGGTTTGAAGATGTTATTTAATGAGTATAATCCAGTGAAATAAATTTGGAAAGAGAAAAAAAGAAAGGGATATGAAGAATTCAGAAGATTAGAATTTGGGAGAACACAAAGGATTGATGCACCTGCACTATTGCAAACGATTTCCAGCTATGTCACTTTCAAGGTCTCTAACCATCGGTTGCTATCACCTCGCGGTCCCCAACCAGGTAGTCTACACCTACCAATATGACTCAGTTCATTTGTCAATGACTTCATGGACTTGTGCCATGTTTTGGTCTGGCCACCCCTAACTTTCTTCCAATCTACTCCTATACAACAAAACATCGCACATCGAGGCAGTCGGTGATTGAGCATACGTAACACATGCTCCAGCCATCTCAACTGATGAAGTTTCACTAATTCATCAATTGATTTGCCATCCTTACCTAGTACCCGTTTCTTAACAACTCCATTACTTACTCAGTGGTCTTAGGATATATGAGAAATGCTTCGAAGACATCTATGATCGAATACTAGTAACCTACGAACATCCTTTACTCTTACCGGTCATGTTTCACTGCCATAAAGTAGGACGGAACGAACTACTGTGCAGTAAACACGTCCTTTGGTTGATAGACGGATATTTCGCCTATGCCATAAATGATGCAAGTTGGCAAAAGCTAGTCGAGCCTTCTATATCCGTGCTGAGATTTCGTCACACACCAGACCACAAGGGCTGATGAGACTTCCAAGATAAGTGAAGCGATCGACACACTCAACTACTTCACTCCCTATCATTAGTTCAGGTGTCAAGATCTAAGCTAAATGACTATTGAAAACCTAAAAGCACTGAACAATCGTCTTATCCTAGTACGGAACTCTTCACGTAAGACTCAAACCCGTGGCCTTTGGTCTTGCTCATGAACGCGCACTGCTGAAGAGTCCCATATTAGGACAAAACGGTCATTCAATGCTTCTAGGTTTTTAATGGTAGTCTAGTTTGAATTGACTCATGAATTCAACTATTAAAATACTAAAATCCCCCATACTGATCATTTATTTTTATTTTGTTAGAATTATTCATGGATACTACAAACAAATAATACATAGATAATTGTTGATTTTAACACGTTCAACCAATCAGAAATCAACCATATGATAAGTGTACACGATTGGCCTCAAAATGACTTATATATCCTAGGTATGAGGCATACATAATTAGTGGCTTAATTTTCTAACACCGTTGGATACCGACTCAGTGGTCTAGTGGTTGAGTGCTGGCGCGCGAAACCAGTAGGTCCTAGGCTCGAATCTCGCAAGGGGCTAGGTCGTGAATGCGCACTGCTGAGGAGTCCCAAAATAGGACGAAACGGTCGTCCAGTGCTTCCAGGTTTTCCATGGTGGTCTAGCTTCAATTGACTCATGATCTTAACCATTGAAATTACTATAATATCCACAAAACACATACAGGACATTTCATTTAGTGACAATCTGTACTGAATGTACATATACCTATAAAGTCTAGTTAAGGAATTCAGGATTAAATATCAATAATGCTATAATTGTTAACCTTAGTATTAACAATATAATTATTTGTGGTTTATGTAATGTTCAGTGATGCATGTTGGTATATATGCTTTGAAAATATTGCGCTATCTCATTTTTTTCAGATACTAATTTACGTTCGGTTAAACAAAAACCAGTTGCTAATGAACTGATGATGACGAATAAGAGCATTGTTTCGAAAGACACAGACACTATCACTTCTACGATTCATGAAGTAGTGAAGACATCCAATAGTAGTGGTAGCAGTACCATTGCTAAATCATTGAAAACAAAGAAATCAAATCCTATACATCATGAGTCGTGTAAAGCAGTAGTTGAATCGTTATCATCATTGACGTCTTCGTCTACTGTTCCTGAACCACTGAATAACTCACATATATCTACTCCTGTTCCTGATACATCTGTTACGCCACAAGCATTAGATACTACCGTGAATGATGATGGTGAGTGGTTATGTGCAAATATGAAAACAGTTAGACGTCGTCGACGCAATAATAATAACAAAGACATTAAACAATTGACAAGTACAGATAATAATGATAATGTTCATGTTGATGACACCAAATTAGAAAGACACGTTCTACAACAACAACCAATTGAGTTATCATCCTTAATAGTCGCAGAAGAAAATAGTCAAAATAAGTCCAACTCTACACATGACATTGGTAGCAGTGATCAACAGTATTTAATAACTAGTCAAGATATTATTAATTCTAAAACTAATAAAAATTTGGAACCTGATTCTAGTCATCAATCTGTAGTGGAATGTTTCAAAAATAGATCTTCAATGATAGTAAGTTGTTTACACTACATGAAATAAAATTTGAAACGAATTCTATATTTGTTACATTCACTATCATCCCCAAATGCCCTAGAACGGCCGAAGGGGATGAGAATTAGCTCTCCCTTTCTAAATGCTTCCACATGGCCACGTGCATACAGCCACTGTCAGGGAAGTCCTACTTATTGCGTCCTTGTAGTGGGGATGTTGTTTACGAAATTGAGGGGATGAAAAGAAATTGTCCGGCTCTTTATCCGGGTTGATGGATACGAAGAGTCGACCTAGGGGAGTTGGAAAACCGTGGTTCCAAACCAGTGGTGCACATGGGCTCCAGTATCCTGAGTGAACAAATGGAGTATGAACCTATTGTCGGTCACCAGCTACCATGTAGCTGCATCCCCTAACGTTACTCTACTGCCTTATTGATCAGACCTTTAGGTCGGAGGTTCCGAGTGTGGCCCCCTAAAAAAACCACGTGGTTCATCCTGGGCACTCGGGCAGTATCATAACCCACACAGAAATCAAGTGACTTGTGTGGCGCATATGTATCCGGTGCCTCTTTGTATCAATATTTAAATAAATATCAAAACATAAAGTCATTAACTGTGTTAGGAAGTAGTAACCAATGTGTTATGTCTTTTTTTGTGTGTGAATTTCATTTCGTATTGATAGAATTCTATTGATTTAGTTTCTCACATGACAACCCTTTTGTCTAAATGACTTTGGTGTTAAGATGTACTTCTATGTGTTTGAATATTAATCAATAATGTTCGTAGTGAATCGACAACATAAACCTTAACTTGAATTTCTTTCTTGTAGACATTTATTAGCAAGAAGTTTCTGTGAAACTGTAGAGAATTGATGGTGTCTCATTTTGTTTAAGACTTACCTCACTCACCCACCTACTCATTATTGACTTTAATGTTACACTTTCGATAGGGAGTGCTGTTTTTCTTCTTTTTCGAATCATCAATTGATACCGATAGTAAAAAACAAACAAACAAACTGAATCGGGTAACTTCAGACTCTTAATCTGCTTAATAGTACTATTTATAATATATTGATTCATTTTGTACTATCCTTATCCATGAAACACGTGCTCCTACTAACCTACATAAGGTTTACTATTTTCATGTGATACAATTTAAATAAGGTTATCAACCTTCTGTATATGTTTGTGTTTATGAAGAAGTGTCATTCTCCGTAGTAGCTAGTCAGTTCATACACTAATTTCTATGTGATTTTTTTTTCTTCAATTTCAAAACCTAACACAGCATGATATGGATTTAGTTACTATGACAAAATACGAATCTGTTTGACTATCGGTTAACCAATGAACTAGCATTATTTAATATAGGATCTAGGACAATTGCTTCAAGTTTATGCACCATGAAAAAAGTTGACAGTGGAGGAGACTAAACATGAAGCGTTTGGGGTTTTAAAAGAAAAAAATAGTAATCTGTAGTATAAGAAAACAGTATAAAAGTAATTTTGAAACTCTTAATCTAGAGGTAGACAAAGAGTGAATGAATCTGTCTCACTATGACCGATTTTAAGCTATAGGCTCTTTAACCTTTTATTACGATCATTACTCCAAGCTTGATTAGATAGTCTACACTTATATCAACATAGTCCAGATAAAAAGTTAACCACGTGATGAACCGACAATATGTCTTGGTTTGGTCACTCCTAGTCTTCTTCTTCTTCTTCCAATCTACTACTATGCTAGCGAAGTGAAAGTCAATCATATGTAAAGTAAAACTTTGCACATATCAAGACAAATCCTAGCATAGTATAAATAATATCAGTATCAATGTTAATGGGAAAAAACTATACATAGACGATACGATGAAGAATGGATAAGTGGAATAAACTAATTTTAGAACTCAAAATCAAATGAAAGACAATTGATCTTTACACCCATCAACATACCATAATCCAACAGTCATTCACTTGATGGACTAATACTATTTCTTGGTTTGGTCGCCCCTAGCTTTCTTTATTTCTACATCAGCAAATATCATTCATCGAGGTAGACAGTGGTTGACTGTATCGTAGTAGCCTGTGATCATCTCCTTCATCATGTTAAGAGACATAGTGTAAGTGATGACGCTAGTAGGTTTCTCCATGAATGCTTATTGGCTTGAGTTTTTTATATATTTTACTATCTCTTTGCGTAAATAAGGGAATGAAATCAACAATATGTATGAAGTATGGAACTTCATAATGCTAAATAACTGTAGACTGTATAAATACGTTGTGTTTTCTGTTTGACACTAATAGTGACATTAAAACATACACATAGATACACATCATCACTAATCATCATACTTAGAGTATAAATTCGAAACCAATCACATAAATTTGTACCTAGTGAATGAGTTAATTGAGCTGCGCTAGTTGATGTGGGTACGATTTGTACGGATAAGATCAATCCTCTAAAGATTTTATTGACACTTTGTTGTTTAAACAACTGTTTGAGAGTCTTATGTTTCTCGTTGATTTCTGTCGTTGGGTTTAATATTACATTCATAAATACATCGAAGAAATCTTTCTAAGTATCAATACCTGTTGGGGATGTTAGATCTCTAGAACTCACTTGGTAAATGCCTTAGTTTTTTAATTCTATTTTAAAAAGTTGAATTTCTTGTTTACACACCAAAAAACACCCATTTTCACCTTCACATCGTATTTCACACTTGGGAGGGATTTAAATACTATTGGTTCGTTATTTGTTTTAGTATGTTATTTTGTATCGTTTCCCAATGATATTTTTATGCTGTATATATATATACTTGCGTTGTACTTATTGTTGTTGTTCGTGTTTCTGACTGTTTGTGGAATAGATTTCCTTCTTTCAAACTTGAAATTCTCTTTCTATTTCGTGGGACTGGGATGCGTCACAGAGTTTGCTTTCCATTCTCAAATTAAGTGAACTCGTAATCTCTTCAAGCATAGCAACACGAAAGTTAAATTTGATAGTTTCAAATAAATTAAGCATTGGATAGATAGTTAATAATCAATATATATATATTTGTTATATCCCAAGAAGTAGAAAAAATGTATATTTGGTGTTTCGTGAATTGTTGTGGAACACTTCTTCAGAGTAAATAAATAATCGAAATCTTTTGTTTATTTTTATATAAATTAGTATTATATATATACATATATGTAGTTTTTCAGTGTTACCAATTCATGCAATTAGTTCCTTTTATGAATTTAAATGAAGTCAGAACAAACATTGATACAGAATAATAGGGATTCATCATATTTCATTAGGTCCTCATCAGCTGCTTACAACCAAATAGTGTGAAACAATTGATATAAGTGAATGTAAAGAATTGGGATGGCAAGCGTTATCAACAATAACCCTCTCTTTCTCCATCTCTCTCTCTCTATATATATATTCTCACACGGCCACGCGTATACAGCGTATGCCAGGGAAGTCCTACTCACTGCCTTCTCACGACGGGGGTGTTGTTGTTGAAAATGAGAGCACGAAAAGCGAATGTCCGACGCTTTAACCGGATCCCAAACCAAACCAATGGTGCATATGGGCTCCAGTATCCTAAAGGAACAAATGGCGCATGAACCAATCGTTAGTCACCGCCTACCATGTGACTGCATCTCCTGACGATGCTCCACTGCCTTGTGGGTCAGATCTTAAGGTCAAAGGCTCGGGGTGTGGCCCCCTAAGAAAACCACGTGGTTCGTTCTGGGAACCCGGGCAGTATCACAGCCCACACACAAACAGAATGAAATGACAATACTTACGGAAGTTCAGAGACAAATAAAATAAGTTATGTTATAATTTTAGAGGTAATAAAGGATTTACATAAGATTCGTGTAATTGAAATACTGATAAGATAGATGGGTTACGTAATACTTGAATCGAATTTGAAGAGTTCAGATAATTTAAGAGAATCAAGTGAGTGCAAATGTATGAGTGAAGAGGATAGTTTAAGAATTCCATGATAGAAGAGAAATATAACAAACCAAGTAAGACATTTGTTGTTAAATTAATGATATATTTTTTTGAAGCCAGTCACTAGTGAGCATATGTTGATTAATAACAGAAGGGGTTTTGTGGAGATGGTAGTAATTTAAACAGTTGACATCATGAGTCAGTTGAAACTAGTCCACCATTGGAAACCTCGAAGCACTGGTCTAATTGGTTAAGCGCTCGGCGCGAGACTGATAGGTCCTGGGTTCGAATCCCGCGAGACTAGCTTCAAGATCTATATCCTGGAATTCTAGTGTGAAGCAGTGGCCAGTGGAGTTCAACCGGGTCAGTTGTAATATAGTAACTCACTGATGACAATGGTGGATGTATCGCTCAATTTCGTGGATTAGTTGAAGTTGGACATTAACACCGTCAGATGCCGGCTCAGTGGTCTAATTGTTTAACCGCCTGGCGCGAGACTGATATGTCCTGGGTTCGAATCCCGCGAGGCGGGGTTGTGGATGCACACTGCTGGGGAGTCCCACAATAGAACGAAACGGCCGTTCAGTGCTTCCAGGTTTTCCATGGTTGTCCAGTTTCAACTGACTCATGATCTCAACTGTTTAAATTACTACAATCTCCACAAAACTCCTGATGATATATTTTTCATGTTTCTAAATTTATTTTTTTTAGGAAAATGTCAATTCTTCATTGAAGAAACATTCATTAATAGATCAGTTTGTTTCTAGCACTACTACTAATACTACTGCTACTACTACTAGTAGTAGTAATGATGCATCTCTTGGTGTTCTTCATTCTAATTCTACTAATACATCAAAACGTAAACGTCGTAATATTCCACGTAAAAAATCTACTGATGAAATTATTATTAATAATGACAATATAGAATCTTATAGTATATTATGTAATGAAAATCAATCTGATGATAATAATCCAATGTTATCAGGTACAACAACAACAACTACTACTCCTCCTCCTATCAATTCATCAATGAAACGAAATTTAGATAAACAAAATGACGATGATGAAAGTGGCTTTGAATTAATTGAACTTTCAAATACATCATCATCAGTGTCGTCAGCTGTTGAATCTGATGAATTAGAAATGCATTCATCATTAATAACTACTACTAGTACTAATAATACTGTTGTTGAAAAGTCATTATTACCTCAAGCATCAATATCACCACCTGATCTGTTATCACATTTTCCACCATTAATTAAAGCAGATAATGGTGATCCAATTTCTGTAACAATGGAAGTAGAACTCCTTGAAAGTGGAAGACATCCACAAGCGAATAAATTACTAAAATTAGCCTTAAGTAATAATAATAATAATAATAGTAATAGTCAAACTAGTAATCAACAGGAACAGTTAACTGATGATCTTGTCGGTGGGACTTGTAGTATTAGTAGTCGTAATAGTAATAATAAGGATGGTAATAAAGTTACTACGAAGCGTTCAAAAGTGAGAAAAGCTGATTAAATGATAAGAATATGATATTCATGTACTATTCAACTACTCTTTTCTCCCCCCCCTCTCTCTCTTCCTCTTGTTTTCTTTTCTCATTTCATCTATAAACTTATATCAGATTATATTTATTGGTTTCTTACATTACCTCCTCTCATTGTATTGTCCAATTGAATCAGAACAATCTATTTGTCACTGATCGTCATTATGCTGATTATGTTTAATAAACTTTTTTGGGGGGATAAAATGTCCGTTTATTCTCATTTTTTGTTTCCCCTTCTCCCTCTCTCTGAAGCAAATAATAGTAGAAAAAAATAGGGATGAAGTAACTCATCCCATTTTCTCAGTTTTACCCCCCCTATTTTTCCTCTTCTTATTCTTTGGGTTTTTGTGTTTATTTTTTTCCACGTCTATTCTTCCTGAATATATATTGTGTGTAAAGATGGTTTTGTAAAAAAAGAAAATCAACAATAGACGGATACTCTTTATCATTATTTCCTTCCTGGTATAGATTGTGTCATATTCCATGGTCTATGTTGTTTCCACTTTGTTTTTCTCTTAAACTATTATATTTCAGAAATACTGTCGTTGTTGATGATATCAATCTATGTGTGTGTGTGTGCGTGTGTATGTGATATTTTGGAGTCTCCCCTTTCCAGTGTGTTTTTATCGCTGCTTGTTTTCACATATTTTTTTTTTGATGATCCTGATGATGATTTGTCGACCTCTGTCTATTTTCTTCTCAGTGTTTCTTTTGTTGTTGTTGTTGCTGATTGTTTTCCCACTGTTCATTTATGACTTTTTTTCCCCCTTTTATATTAAATGTTGAAACTTTACAGCAATATCACTTTCTTATTTTATTACCACTAAATTGTTTGTTCTATTGGCCTCATATTTTTTTTTAGCGCCAAATAAATACTGTGATATTTACATAATTAATATGCATCTTGTTATATTCTATTTCGGGATAAACAAATAGTGTCAACTATTTTTTAATTGGTCAACTGAATGTGTGTCAAGGTCAAGTAGACAAGGGCGCTTATTTTTTTGTATTACTCTTTTTTGATTGGTTAGCTGATGGTATGCATTAATTATATCTGTCTGTTAATTTGTCCACGATATACTTCCCAAGGTCAAATGTGATTTTTATGCATTTTGCTGATTTCTTATTGGTTGGTTATGTTAATAGTGCAAACAGTTTATTTATTTATTTTTAAAAAAAACATTTATTGTCTTCTTCATACTTCCGCCATTGATGTATGATTGACTAGAGAGAGAGAGAGCAATTGGGAGATTTGATTTGTTTACACAGTACACAATGGTGTGGATACAAAAAGAGTAATAATGATGGTGGGGGTGGTGTTGTTGTTGTTATGTCTTGAGTATTATCAAAGAGAGAGAGTAACAAACAAACAAACTTCACACCCTAATAATTAGTCAAACAGCTTCTATAGTCATTTGTGAAAAATAATAATTATTATTTATTTACTTAATTTTTGACTTAATTAACTTATTATTGTTATTTATGTCTATATATTACAATATTGCAATGATGATCCCTTTCTCCCCCTCCACCCCTAACTTTGATCGGCCTAATTTTCTGCAATCTGTTTTCTTGTTGTTGTCTCAGTTTATTGATTAATTAGTTATTTTTATTAAAAAATATATATGTATTGATCGATTGATTTGTTTATTTTGTTCATGTGTGTGTGTGTGTGTTTACGTCTGTGCATTTGAAGTGGGATAATTATTATTATTAATAATAAAAAGATTCTTGAAAATAAAATGATTTAAATGCCTCGTTCTTATTTTTGTGTTTTCTTGTTACACCACTTGTCTTGGAGCTGAATAGCTTATTGAATGAATGGGAAAGTATGTAAAGAAATTAGTCAGTTTTGTTGTTGTTGTTGAGTATCAGTCAGTAACAATGTAGAACTTTGTACGTACATACATCAGTTCGAGTTGTCATACCACATTATCACACAGATACAATTGTCCATTCAAATCCCGTGCTGGTAGAGGTAGTCAAAGTATAAACAGTAGTCGGAAACATTAGGGTATGAAGATGTTATTCAATGAGTATAATCCAGTGAAATAAACTTGGAAGGAGAAGAAATAAGGGGATATGAAGAATTCAGAAGATTAGAATTTGGGAGAACACAAAAAATGGATGCACCTGCACTATTGCAAACGATTTCCAGCTATGTCACTTTCAAGGTCTCTAACCATCGGTTGCTATCACCTCGAGGATCCCAACCAGGTAGTCTACACCTACCAATATAGTTCAGCCCACTTGTCAGTGAGTGACTTCATGGATTTGTGTCATGTTTTGGTCTCGCCACTCCTAGCTTTCTTCCAACCTACTCCTACACCATGAAACATCGCACGTCGAAGCAGTTGGTGGTTGGGCATACGTAACACATGTTCCAGCCATCTCAACTGATGAAGTTGTTGAGTATATCAGTTTCTAAATAGTAGCTATGTAATATTAATAACCTGGCAAGACTTTAATTTATGATTGACTTTTCAGTGACTCTATGCTGACCTTGAGAGTGTTCGCCTGATAACTAAAATCAAATGCGGGTTATAAATGTGTGTGATGAATTAGAATTATGATTTACAATTGATTAGATTTAAGTTTTTCATCACGAACTGACATTAGCTATAATGTCAAGATTCTATTTAACCAAATGAATGATTGAATATCGTGTCAAAATTTGAGACCTGTTTTTTACGTGATCGGTTCGTCTATAAACTATAGTCTCGCTAATAACACTTATACACACATACTATAAGAATGCTTCAAATTTGAGCAAAAAAGTTTATAATCAGAGAGTGGTCTTGTGGATATTACAGTAATTAAGTAGTTGAATTTATGAGTCTGTTGTGGATGCGGAGGAATAGACCAATAATTATCATGTTAAGTCCAATGGTGTCCTTGGACTTTAAATGGACATTTTCTATTGGTCGATATCTGTTCACTTGTTGTATATTGTACAAAATGTTGTTCTCTTTTTTATGGTACGATGTGGTGTGCTTGATTGGTATATAAACAGAGTATGTCTGAAATACAATGATTCATATCTCCGAGACTGTGGCTTGTATTCTGGACTCAACTAACTGGGCTAGACAGGGAAGTGGGACCAATCGAGAATCTAGGCCGTCCGTTCGTGTTTACGTGTCACTGTAGTCGATCGATAAATACGCTGTTCTCTAATCTCTTCAGTCAAGGACACAACAATTAGCACAGGGTAAAAATCGACAGCAATTTAAAGTCATAACAGAGTCAGGTGATTGTTTTAAGTTAAACATTAAAATCGTTGGATACCGGCTCAGTGATTCCCATTCCTGATGAGTCCGCACGTGAGACTGATAAGTCCTGAGTTTGAGTCTCGTAAGGCGGGGTCGTAGATGCATACTGCTGAGGAGTCTCATACTAGAATGAAACGGCCATCTGGTGCTTCCAGGTTTCCCATAGTGATCTAGCGTCAATCGACTCATGAATTCACCTATGAAAATTACTATAATATCCACAAAATCTCTCTCTAATTATAATTGTTTAGTTAAAAGTTTTTCATCCAACCTATCAAAGATCATTTTTATCTTACCGTTACAATTGTAGGTTAAATGACATAACATTGAGTAATGGGAAGAGAGAGGATTAATAATAATCAAAGTAATTATTCGAAAATCAAGTAGTTGCTACATTGCATAATATATCTAAAAAAGAGAAGAAGGAACTAACATAATATTTTGATGAATGGTCAGTAGTATAATAGTAATGTAAGAATCAAGAGACGAATGTTGGAAATAAGTAAAATACAAAAGTTTTATTTTATTTTAACACATAGATATTGGTACAAGGAGGCACTAAATACATATGCGCCACACAGATCTCATTTGATATGTTTGAGGGATGTGATACTGCCCGGATGCCCAAACCGAAGCAAGTGGTTTTCTTAGGGGGTCACTCCCTGAGCCTTCGATCTGAAGGTCTGATCCACAAGGCAGTAGAGCATCGTAAGGAGATGTAGTCCCATGGTAGCCAGTGACAAACGATTGGTTCATACGTCATTTGTTCCCGCAGGATACTGGAATGAGGGTTTTCCAACTCCCCTAGGTTCACTCTCTATATCCACCAACCCGGTTAAAGCGTCGGACATTCGCTTTTTCGTCCTCGCAGTTCCCTAAACAACACCCCCAATGAGAGAAGGCAGTGAGGAGGACTTCCCTGGCAGAGGCTATATACTCGTGGCTATATGAGAGCATTTCGAGAGTGAGAGCGGACTCTCCCTACTCTCGGCCGTACCATGGCATTTTGGGGCAAAGTTCTGCTACAAACTCACTCGTTTACCGATGGCGAAGGTGGTGAGAGTGGTTGTACAAATTTCTTTTAGATGCAAAGGTTTGGTTTGTGAACATGGATTCTAATGCATTCAACTATGTGCAAAAGACGATTTCATAAACCATACGGCAAATTCGATGAAATATGGTGGTTAACTTTAAAAGCTTTATTCAATTCAACTTGATGATCTATGTCCACTAAGTTAGCGAGAATAGAACTATTAACCACTCTTACCTGTCCGATGTTTTACTCGAGTACAAAATTAAATGTTTATTGACTTGTATTATCAAAAACATGAGTTTACATTGTGAGTAGTCACAATCTACAAAAAGAATAAGTTGAAACGAGAATAAATAGGATGAATAGTGTGCAAGAGGCTCAATTAAAAGTAAGATGAACTTGACAAACCATCAGCAATACGTCGTTTTTCGATTGCCTATATTATGGAAGGATATATATATATATATAATTAGTTAGTGAAGCTTATATCAGCCTGAAGGTGTGACCTCAAAGCACAGAAAAAAAAACAGTTACTTGAGGCCGATTACACATGGCCACCACCGATAGCTGTGTCTAAATTTGATAACAGTTTATGAGCAACCGAAACTCGAACCAAGAGCAAAACAATATGGAAACTGTTGCGTTTAAACAAATGCACAAAACTGTGGATAACCGTTACAGTAATTAAAGTACAGTGATTGTAGTGATAAGTACAATGAACGTTAAAGATATATGTGAACATTTCGGAATGTCACAGTACAACTCGAGTTACAACATAAGTATGAAAGTTGTTCAGAATACAACTACTTACTGAATGTAAATAAGTAGTATAAGACAATATACAAAAGAGTAGAAAGGGAACAATGTAAGACAAACTTAACAGGAGGTTTCAGTCATTAGTTAACTTTGAATTTATGATTGTTATCATAGACTTGAGCCAGTTGAATAATTCTAGAACCAGATATTTTGATCTACTTTGTGAACTGATGGCTATTTACATTTATAAATAATCATCTATGAATGCTTGTATTGCGATAATGATCCAACTTTGGATTGCTTAAATGTTGAATGATAGGTGATGTACAATGATACAATATTAGCGGATGGTAACCACTTAGATCATCAACATATTGAAAAAACGCTATTCCTAACAGGCTGAAATCAAATGGTATCTGAATAGGTTGTTTTTTTTTCGAATAAAATTGCATAATTAACAACGAAGTAATCCGAATTTTACAATTAGAAGTTACTTTAAACATGGGCTATTAGAAGATCCGGTAAAGAAAATCTGGCGAGATAAGTTTATCCTATTTGTAGATGATTTCAGAAACTAGTTCATTTAAATTTCTAAGTTTGTTTATTTTGACAAACTTTCATGTGACTATGTATATCCACGATTCTTTTACTCTTAATAGTTGAGATCATGAGTTAATTGAAGCGAGACAATCATGGCAAACCTGGAATTACTGGATGACCGTTTCGTCTTAGTGTATGAAACTACTCAGCAGTATACATCCACAATCCCGTCCAGTGATTCCAGGCTTTTCATGGTGGTCTAGCTTCAATTCACTCATAAATCTCAACTGATCAAATTACAATAATATCCACAAAACCCTTTCCGACATTTCTCTCAACCCAAAAGCGCATATTTATTTTGCTTGGTTATAGGGGGTCAATAAGAAACCTTAGATACAGGATTCGTTCTGTTCACAAATAATCAGTAAGACATCTTTGGCCTGCTCCCAAAAACATAAACCAGTGACTTACATGTATTCAAACTTATTCGATAGGCTCGATAATACAACTTATGTTACTACAACTACGTCTAAATGAACATATATATATATTTACATAAGTGCAATGCACACTCGTTTCGTTTTTTGTCGTTAGCACTAGTGAAAACAGAAAACCATTCATACATGTCTTAGTGAAATAGGCACAATGATTTGTTTTACGAAAAATGTGTTTTCATAACAAACATTGAACATTCAATAATGTCTTCAGAGGTTGGAATTACAAATGATGTTTTTGTGAAAAATATTATACTACTTACACAGTAGTAAGTAGTATACTTTGATAAAACTGAAAACAGTCATGAAAATTAAAATGTGAATGTTTCTAACTTCTGATCCAGCAACTTTGTCTGAACTTCTTCAGAGTACTAAAAAAAATCAAAATTATCTAAGAATATATGACGTTTGGCAATCAGGTCAAATCTATACTATGTTTATTCAATCATGTTCAGATGTTGACTTTAGTAAGTAGGATTACTTACTTCTATTACTCCCAGTGGAGCATAGATCGCCGACCAGCATTCTCTAGTGCACTCTTAACTGGGCCTTCCTTTCTAGTTTTATCCTATTGTGGTTCATTCTTTTCTCATGTCTATCTCCATTCCTCAACGTATTGTGTTCTTTGGTCTTCCTCTTTTGTTGTGGCCTTGAAGATTCCATGCGAGAGCTT